CTGACCAATCAAACAATAGCTCTAAGGAAATAAAAGAAGATGAATTACGGAATTGTATTATACACTGAATGTGTTGTACGTTGAATTTCAACATTCCACCCAGTATAGGAATCCCCTTGTAGCCTCACTGACAAAAGGTCATTCAACCTTTGTTTGAAAACTTCCAGTGACAGTTAAGTTACTGTATTAGAAAACAGTCTAATCCAGTTTGGGACAGATAAAATTGCTAGAATGTTCTTTCTTACATTGACTCAAAATCACCCCTAAATAACTTTCAAATATGGTACTGGGCTTGCCCATAGATCTACACAGAAATTTTGTTCTTCTCCCACGTGATGGATCTTCAAAAATGTGGAGATAGCTCTCATGTTCACGTGGGGTTTCTCTTCTCCAAACAGACAGAGTATAGTGACTTGATTCACCAAGTTGCCCAAGGTGAACAATGCATGACCATCACAATTGGTAGTAGGGGCTTTGCCTCATTGATATGGTAGCATGGTTCAGGGGAAAGAATGCTGAATTTGGAGCCAGAGGACCTGGTTCAAACCTTGCCTTTGCCGTCTGTGTGGCGTGGGGCAAGTCATTTAACCTTGTGGGTTCTCGATTTCCTCATCTGAAAAATGAGGCTATGGGAATAGATAACCCCATTAATTAATGTCTATTGGACTCAAGAACTTCCAATAAGGACAATAGGTCCAATAGAGGACTAGATGGTTCACTTGCAGAAAGTAATGTTTTTTTTTTCAGTCATATAGACCTGAATGTAAAATAACTTCATGACCCTATTTGGGGTTTTCTTGGCAAAGATACTGGAGTGGTTTGCCATTTCCTTCTTCATCTCATTTGACAGATGAGGAACTGAGTTAAACAGAGTTAAATGACTTTTCCAGGGTCACACAGCTAGTAAGTATGTGATGCAGGATTTGCACTCAGATCTTCCTGACTCTAGGCCCAGCACTCTATCTATTGTGCCACTGTGCTGCCTGCCTTTCTTTGTAGTGCTTAGTATGATATGTGGCACATGGCACTTAATAAATGCTTACTGAGTGACTGAATAGCCTTCTAATTGGTCTCCTGGCCTCCAGTCTCTCCTCCTTCCAATCCACATGCAGCTATCACAATGACTTTCCTAAAGTATAAGTCTAACCAGTAAGTATCAGAAGCAGGATTTGAATCCAGGCCTTCCTATCTTCAAGGCCCAGCCCTCTAACCATTAAGCTACATTGCCTCTTGCTTGATTTATGCAATTCTATTATAATCCATTATAGTACTATCTGTTTTACAAATTAAACCAGCATGATTAATTTTTGAGATCCAGAAAAAATTAATTTAATCTAGCTATGGAAATCTACAAACTATTTCTAATTCTTACTATTGGGGTAATTTTAATAATATTATTACTGGGTTCAAGGGTGTGCTGGTAAATATTTAACAACATCTGGTAGGGGGGAGCTGTACCCATGGCACACTTTTTCTATTTAATCTTCATTATTAACATTTAACATTATAAATATTTTCTCCATTCCTTTCTTAATTGCATACAATCAACAAAACAATAAATCAAGCCCTGATTTGTAGCATTTGCCAATTTCCAAGGTGCAAACACTCACATTGAAAGTTTAACAATTTGCTTTTGAGAAGGTTCAGAACTGGCTCCAGCACATCCCAAACTTAGGCTGGTGGGTTAGTTTGACAGTTAGGTGGTACAATGGATAGTGTGATAGGCCTGGAGTGGGAAAGACCTGGGTTCAAATCCAGCCCCAGATATTTACTAGCTGTGTGAGCCTGGGCAAATCATTTAACATCTATTTACCTCACTTCCTTCAGCTGTAAATTGGAGATAATAATAGCATTTACCTCCCAGGGCTGTTATGAGGCTCAAATAAGATCATAATTGTAAAGTGCTTAGCAGAGTGCCAGGGAGATAGCAGGTGCTATGTAAATGTTAGCTAACATTATTAATCCCAGGTTTTCTTATTTAGCTCAAATTATCCTTCCACATGGCCATACCTCCTCAGAAATCTCCCAGGTAAGCCATAGAAGGAGAAGAGGCATATTTTGCAGAAGAGGTAAAATAGAAAGAATGCTAGATTAAAGTCAAGACACTTGGCTTTTATTCTCATTTCTTCCACAAATTATTTGTGTGACTCGATATAAGTAACAGCTTCCTTCTGATCCTCACTTTTCTCATCTGTCAAATGGGGGGAAGGGTTGTAATCTTAGATTCCTCCCAGCTCTATCAGTCAGTTCTCAGTACCTGGTATACAGTGACATAATTTTAGAACTGGAAGGGACCTTAGAGAGCATTGAGTCCAAATACTTTCTTTTTACAGATGAGGAAACTGAGGCTCAGTGAGGGGAAGTAACTGGCCCAGGGTCACACAGGTCTCCTGACTCCAAGTCCAGTGTCCTAACCCCTTGGCCTTGAATAAATATTGATTGACTGATTGGCAACAGGTCTCTATTGCAATATAAAATGCTCTTTGCATGAACTTTGCTTTGGAGCTGAAGATACTCCATCAAAAAGATTTGTAAAACAGTATTAGAATCCAAATTTCAATTTCATTGCTGACATTCCAGCTCTCTTCGTCAGTGCCCAGTACCTGGCACATAGTAACAGAAGCGCTACACTGACTAGCCTAAAATAGTTTTCTCCCCCACTTTTAAGATGAGAACTTCTCAGAGAGAATTTGTTCCAGTTTATAGTAACCAGATGTAAACAATAAATTCACATTTTTGTGAACCTCACTCACTGTGGAGGCTCCTTGCTTTCGGATTCCACATCTCATCCTGATCTTTTTTCCCCACACAATCAGTTTAAAAGGCAAGACCTGAACCCAGGGTCAATCTAGCTTCGAGGCTGAGCTTTTTGTTTTCTTTCTTAGGAGTTTGGTCTCACTCCAGGTCACTACCACCAAGTACAATACAGTCCCAAATAACGGTGTGCTGGAGCCAGCTCTAACCCCATATGAGCTTTAAACCTCGGGAATCAGCAGATGCTAATAATCTGGGCTTGATTTATTGTTGTGGTGATCGTCTAGATGTAAGAAAGTATTAATAATGCAGATTAAACTTAAAAGTGTATATTTCCTGAGGTTGTTGAGGGAATTATGTAAAACAGCATGAAGGAAGGCTAGATTAGAAGTCAGAGGTCCTGGGTTCAAGTCTCAGTTCTGCCAGTTACTATTGGTGTGACTTTGGGTAAGTCATTCAAGTCTCTCTGGGCCTCAGTTTCCTCCTCAGTAAATGAAGGGGTTTAACTAGATGGCCATAAAGATCCCCTGCAGCTCTAAATTTATGATCATTATCTTAACCCTGTCTCTCAAGATTGGAAGCCTTTAGATAACTATTATCTAGGCTTGTTGTTGTTCAGTCATTTCATATTTGTTTAATAATTCTTGACCCCACTTGGGGTTTCCTTGGCAAAGATACCAGAGTGATTTGCCATTTCCTTCTCCAGCTCATTTTACAGATGAAGAAACTGAGGCAAACAGGGTTAAGTGACTTGCCCAGGGTCACACACTGAAGTCTTCCTGACTCTAGCCCCAGCGCTCTATCCACTGTGCTACCTACCTTCCCCATAGTGGGCAGCTTAATAAATAGTAAGCACTTAATAAATGCTTGTTGGTTATAAGCTCACTGAGGGCAAGGACTGTCTTTTGCCTCCCTTTGTATCCCCACAGTTTAGCACAATGCCTGGCACACAGCAGGCACTTAATAAATGTTCATTCCCTTCCTCTTCACTTCCTTACCCCCATCACACCTAGGCTCGATGAGCAACAGCAACTCATGAGCCAAATTCCCAGCCCTAAAGCTTTGACCTACAGTGTTGCTGAACCCACTCACTCTTTTACACACTCCCTCACCCTGCTCAATCCCAAGGCAGTAAAATTTCTTCCTTTAAAAATGCTTTAATTATGATTGTTATTTTTCTTTTTTCTTTTTACATCACCATCATTTCCCATTTTCTTTGTCCACTCCCACTAGAATCCCCTGTCAGAACAAATAAGTGTACTCAAGTGAAGCTTAATCAAACTGGTTATATGTTAAACTTCAGAGGCAGGGTGGAACATCCCATAGAGCCCTGGGCCCAGAGTCAGGAATACCTATGTTTAAATTCCATCTCTAACACTGACGAACTGTGTGATCCTGGGCAAGTCACCTAAGCTCTTTAGCAATTGCACTGGGCTTTTTTTTTTTCCCTACTGTCATAGATTGAGATCTGCACTGATGGAATGAACCACCACACTGAAGAAATCATAGAACCTTTGTATTTTCAAGGATTTAAAACTTAAAGAGAAAAATGAAAAAAAATTTTTGAACTGGCCTCTACTCAATTGGCTAGCTCAAACCTGTCCCTAAGGTTTGAGTGAAGAGACCAAATACTTATGAATCTATGATTCAATTATTTTTCTCTTTTTGTAGGTCAGTGGGATAAGGTTTCATTAACTTGTAGTTTGCTAAATTCTAGTTGTTGGATTTTTATTTTTTTGGAAGCACAAAAGGGTTTTTTTTGAGTTCCACTCTTTGCCTATACATGTGGCCAGAAAAACTGAGGGATAGTATTACATAGCAATAAAAATTATTTTGAGATCCTCTAATATGTAAGGCATTGTGTATGTGGCAGAGGAAATCCAGGTTAAATATGCATTTTTCCCCATAATAAATGTTCATTCCCTTTTTTAAATTTGAATTTATTTTTCATTTTTTCATTTTTATTTTTTCAATTTTCATTCACAATAATTTTTTATTTTCAAAAAATAAATTTCCCACATTGAATTTTTTTTTAATTTTTACCAGGCAATCAGGGTTAAATGATTCTCCCAGGGTCGCACACCTAATAAGTATCAAGTGTTGGAGATCGGATTTGAACTCAAGGCCTCCTACTTCCAGGGGAAGTGCTCTATCTACTATGCCACCTAACTGCCCCATTTTTTTTTTCATTTCAACCTACGATCTCATAAAACCATAGATTTTAGAGCTCAAAGGAACCATAGAAGTCAGCTAGTATAACTCTTTTATTTTAGGAATGCTGAGTAGGCAGGTGACTTGACAAATCAATAATTCTATATTTCCTTTGTCCATTTGGGCTCCCATCATGGCAGCCTGACACCTTTTTCTTTGGGTATGGGAAAAATGTTTGACTTTCTTTATTTTAAACATTTATTTGCTGGTTTGTGTCTATCTTTTGGGATTGCATTTGAGAGGAGACAATTGAGCGGGGGTGGGGGGGGTTGCGGCATACCCCAGGAGAGGGGACATTTAAAACTCAGGTAGTCACAGAGTACTGTCTCTGGCTGGGGGCTCAGAGCTCAAGGGGAGAGGGGAGGTAGAGAATTATAGATTCCTTTTACCTTCCTGGGGCAGAGAGAGAATGTTGTGTTTTTTCATCCACTACTTTTGAAAAGGACCAATAATGTCTTGAGTTGCTCTGAGGAAGATCTGAGGTCCACTTCATTGGAAGGAGCCACGGACCCTTTAGTAAAGTGCTGTTGGCTAGGAGCTCTGCCTCAGTGGTTTTTCCTTGCAGATTGGACAATCTTCAACCCCACACAAGATAAAAGTCAGGATGACTGGTAATGGCCCAGGATGCAGTGGATCACCTTGGCGTCTTCCATGACTGACCAAGCTCTAAGGGCTGTTGCCTTCATGACCTTTGGAAGAAACTGCTCTCATCTGCCTATTCCGCCTGGGGAAGTCTTCACATGCTTGGGGCAGACACCCTCTAACTCACCCAGGCCTGTCCGAATTTACACTGGGAACCTACCCTCCACCCTCCCTCCCCTTTCATTAAATCAGTAGCAGAGTGGGCGGGGATAATGAAATAAGACTAAACAGCTCTGCTTACCACTCTACCCTACCACTTTGACTTTGCCTCCAAGTGTCAATGAGTTTCTTCTTAGCTTACCTAGCAGTGAGTTCTGACAAAATGGTACACAATAGAATATCTGTTTGGAGAAATAAAAGCTCTGATTTTTCTCCTAAAAAATGCACCTTTAAGTTTACAAGACAAGGGTTATTTTAAAAGGGGAAATTTTCAAAGTTAACCTTCAGTTTTTTTCCTTGATTGTATTAAAATTAATCTTTTTTTAAGTAAAATAAAACCATGATTAAATGTCATGGGGAGAAAGGAATAGGGTATTTTGTTTAATTGAAGTTTCTCATTAGCTGGGAACTAAACAAACCTTTTTTTCCTGTTGTTGTTTTTTTTTAAATGAAAATCTTTCTAAAATATTGGCAGACTGCTTTCCTGCCTAAATCCTGTACAGTGAAGATAACTGAATGTCACTTCTTTTGTTGAAGAGCCTGAAGACTGTCAGGGCAGATGTGAAAGGTTTGCATCTAAAAGGAACCTTATGCATCATCTACTAAGGTTGGGTTTTGTTTTGTTTTTTTTTAAAGAAATCTTTAGTATCGTCTTGTTTTCATATGATTTTCAGTTTTATTCCAAAAGTTTCCACTTTTCAGAAAAATTTGTATTAATTGAAGCAGAGATAGTGTAACAGTTGAAAAAGTGTTGAATTTGGAAACAGGAGACCTGAGTTTGAATAATGACTGTATCTCCTATTGCCTGTGTGACCTCTGGTAAGTCACTTAACTTCTCTTGTTCTCAATTGCCACACTGGTAAAATGAAGAGGATAGACTCATTACCCTTTAAGTTCTATTTTCCTCTAAATTTGGCCCTAAATATGTAAGAAAAAGAAAAAGGAAATCTATAAATCTATGACCCTGAGTAAGGTCAAATTCTAATCAAACTAAGTTTTATAATAAGCAATGTAAAGATTAGGTTTTCCAATATATAGCAAGATTTATATGGAGGCATATCATATTTACTAGTTATTGAACCTAGAAATGCTGTAGGAGCACATCCTAGTACTTTTGTGGGCATGACTAAAATTTAGCTATTATAGTACTTGAGTATTTAAAAAACAAGCCTTTATCGAAATTTAATGTCTTCTTTGCAGTTTCATAAAGTGCATCATTCAATGGCGCCTTTCTTGGACTACCAGGCTGAAGGAATTTCTGAATCCTGGGGAGTTTGCTGATTCTAGTTTTGAACTCCTAAAATGAAAAAAAAATTACATCACCTGTAAATGAAGCAATTGGCCTTGCACATTGGAGCAGGGTCCCAGGGATGCTCTTGCCAAGACTTTTTGGAAGCTGTTTCATCTTGGGGGAAAGCTGTGGCAAGCATTTTCACCCTATGGGCAGTGACATTTAAAAGTCCTCAGGAAATTCCAGCTCTGCAAATGTGTAAGGCCCTTTTTTTCCCCAGATATCATATATCACATCACACAATGTAATATAAAGCAATATAACATAGTATAATGTAATATGATATAATACAATGTGATATTATATAATATCATATGATAAATATGTGAAGGAACAGCCTTCTCTTTTAAAAATGTATAAAGGTTTACTTCCTTAATTGCTGGAAAGGATTTGAGCTCTGGGCTCACCAATGGTCTTCATGCCTACCATCTGAAAAGACATCCAGCCATCATCTGAAGGGTGGACAACAGATGTCTGATTTGGGCCACAGTGATTCATGAAGACTAAGGATTTCTGTTCCTGGAGGAAAGGTACACAGAGGAAATTCCAGATCTTTTAAACAAGCAGGTACTGATCACTTACTATGTGCTCAGCACTGTGCTGGAGATACAAAGAAAAAGAAAAAGCTATCCCTGCCTGCAGGGACCTTACATTCTAATGGGGAAGAGGACATGTACATCAATAGATATTTGCAACATTTATAGTGAATGCTTTTGATGGAATTACCTGCAGTTTAGGGAATGCCGAGAGAGCATCAGACTTGCATTCTTCAACCATTAAGATGAGTTCAAGTAGATGGATATCTGCCCAGCTCAGCTGGTTGCCAACAAGGTAATTTTTCCCATGGTCTTTTAATGTCTATAGGATGAATGACAAGGAGAGAAGGGAGAGAATTTGTGGGAATATACAGCACATTTCTTGAAGACAGCATATTTATTAGGAGACAGGGTATTTTCTCTGGCTGTGCCCCATGCCTGCAACACTGTCCCTCCTCTACTCTGACAACTGACTTCCCTGACCTCCTTCAAGTCCCAACTCAAATTCTGTCTTCTGCAGAAAGCCTTCCCCAGCCTCTCTTAATTCCAGTGCTTTCTCTTTTAATTATTTTCTATTTATCCTGTGCGCTGCTAGGTGGAGCAATGGATAGAGAGCCATGCCTGGAATCAGGAAAACATGAGTTCAAATGTGGCCTCAGACACTTACTAGCTGTGTGATCCTGGGCAGGTCATTTCACCCAGTTTGCCTCAGTTGCCTCATCTGTCAAATGAGCTGGAGAAGGAAATGGCAAACCACTCCAGTGTCTTTGTCAAGAAAACCCAAGTGGAACACAACTGCACAACAAAATGTATCCTGTACATAGGTTACTTTGTATATATTTGTTTGCATGTTGTCTCCTTCCTTAGATTGGAAACTCCTTGAGGGCAGGGACTATCTTTTGCCTCTTCTTGTATCCCCAGTGCTTAGCACAGTGCCTGGCATATGGTAGGCATTTAACAAATGTTTCTTGACTAACAAGGTCGTAATAATTTCTCTATTTGTTTGTGTCCTCTTCTAAATTGTTCTCTTTGTTTTTGCTCTTTTCATTATACTATTAATTCATTCAATAAACATTTATTAAGCACCTACCATATATACACCAGGCACTGTGCTAAGTGCTGAGGACACAAAGAGAGGTAAAATACAGTCCCTGCTCTCAAGGTGCTCCCAGTCTAATGGGGAAAGCAATGCATAGACAACTATGCAGAAATGATATATACAGGATAAATTGGAGATACTTTCAGGAGGAAGGAGGACCAGGAAAGGCTTATTGCATAAGACAGGACTTTACCTGAGACTTGGTGGGAAACCAGAGAAGTCAGGAGGCAACATGAGGAAGGAGAAGGTTCTAGGCAAGGGAGACAGCCAGGAAAAATGCCTACAGGGCCATGGAATAATGGTTCCAGGATCTCTAAGGAGGCCAGTGTGAGGGGGGTGAGCTTTAAGAAGACTGGAAATATAGGAAAGGGCTAGGTCATGAAGGAATGTCTTTATATGTGATACTGGCGGCAATAGAGGGCCACTGAAGTTTACTGAAATGGGTTGAGTGGGGGGAGATGACATGGTCAGACCAGAGCTTAAGGAAGTCCAATTTGACAGCTAAGGGAAAGATGCCCTGTGCTGGGGAGTGACTTAAAGCAGAAAGACCAAGCAGCAAGCCACTGCAATGGTCCAGGCATAGGGTACATGACAAGCCCTGCTAATTATTTCCTATTTATGCTGCACATAGCTTGCCTTGGAGATATTTGTTTGCATTTTGTCTCTCCCATTAGAGTGTCAGCTCCTCGAGGGCAGGGGCTGCCTTTCTCCTCTTTTGTATCCCCAGCACTCAGCACAGTGCCTGGCACGTAGCAGTTGCTTAATAAATGTTTATTGACTTGAAGTTTACATATATTGAAAAGTTCTAGTTCGTTGAGTATTCTTAAGTTTATAATAAAAAAAGTGCAACCTGATATATTCTTACAAGTGAAATAATTCCATCCCCCCATTATGGGGAGAGAGGGAGAGAGAGAGAGAGACAGAGACAGAGACAGAGACAGAGACAGAGAGACAGAGAGAAAGAATTATGTGAATTATGTAACCTAAGATGTTATTAGACAATTTTTAAAAACAAGAGTACTGGGCCAGGAGTTAGGGAATCTGGATTCTTTTTGTGACTGTAATAGTCACTAGCTCTGTAATCTTGAAAAATTCTCAAGGCCTCAGTTTCCTCATCTGCAAATGGAGTTGGTTGAACTACCCCTTTTTTCTTAAATTACCTGCTTCACAGTGCTGTAGTGCTTAGCATGTATGTCTAATCATGCTTCAAGTGATTCTTCCCCAATGGGGAAGGAATCTTGGATCCTTTCCTGAGAAGACCTTAACTTAAGCCTGTGATATCCCTATAGTGGGGGAAGATCTAGCCCCCTTGACTACAGTATCTTTTTCAAGCTTGATGAGGAACTTCAGTTCATCCACTCCAAAACCTCTCAGACTATCTAAGCATCAAAGTCTAAGCTACCCAAAGCTGTTAGGGGGCAAAGTGGATAGAAGACTGAATCTGAAGCAAAGAAGACCAGAATTCAAATTTAATCTCTGACATTAGCTATTGTCACCTTTGGCAAGTCATTTAACCACTGTCTGCCTCAGTTTCTTCACCTGAAAATGGGGATAATAATAATACCTACCTCCCAAGGTTATTGTATCAAATGAGAAAATGTTTGTAAAGCATTTAGCACAGTGCCTGGCACATAGATGATGCTTAATAAATGCTTATTTCCTTCTTCATTTATTTCTCAGTGTGCATAACTCCATGTGTGAGAGAGAAACATGGAGTTACAAAAATTTTTTTAAAAACAAAAGTATTTTTTTCTTCTTTCCATCCTTTTTTCTTTCTTTCCTTCCTTTCTTCCTCCCTCCCTTCTTTCCTTTCTTCTTTCCTATGTCCATCTCTTCCTCCTTCCCTCCCTCCCTCCCTTCCTTCCTTCTTTCCTTCTTTCCTTCTTCAGATGGAGGCTCAGGAATTGGTAGCCAAGTAATCTCTTAATTTCTGATCACATCAGGAATTATTGAATGAGTAATTATTACTTACAAATTACAGAAAACAGCGTGGTATCTCTCTACTCACATCTGTTAGTGATCACCTCATATTTACCCAAATCCTTTATGATATTATTCGATACTTTTACAATGGCCTTATTTTTATGGTCAAATTCTATTACTATAATTTAAAATCTTCTTGGAGTTTTTCTTAGTATAACTGCACACTAAATGCCTAAAGTCCTGGCTTCGATTTTGTTCAAACTCTATTTAAAAGTCTATTCCGCAAAACATTAGTGCCAATGCAAACAAAAAACATACTAGTGTGTTGCAATGAAAGCTAAAAAGCACATACACACACAAAAGCAATAACTAATTATACAGCAGGCATTAGCAATAAATTCAGGGCCATGTGCACCTCAACAACTGTGTAATCAATAACACAGAACTCCAAGCAGTACTTACTAACAACAGTCAATACCTTTATGGGCAACAACCCACAGGCAGTAATGTTGCATGATACCTTTGGAATCCTACAGGAATCACTGAGTTAGCCATAAAAGTGAATCTCAAAAGAGAGCAAAACCCAATAAATCCTGGATTGGGGGAAAGCACTTCAGTCCACTGAAGGAAAGAGGGGGGAAATAGAATTAAAAAAAAAAGTAAGAAAAATAATTACTTTTTGATGAAATGAAAAATATTTCAGCCAAAAGGAAACATTTTTAAGCTTAAGGAAACTCATAAAATTTCAAAAATAAAATTTACAAATCCCAAGGACAAGCTAAGGTCTCTTCTAGCTATGGCAATCAGTAAAACACATGACATATCCTAAACCCAGGTTACAGTATAACCTGATTCCCTTTTTTCCCATTGTCCTTTGCCCATATTAGGAGACCAATGGGATCATCTGTTGACCACATCTTCAGGTGTGTTGAAAATCTGTCCTCAAGACTTGTAAATTATGGAGACAGTGCTGTTTCTAAAATCCTTTGTTAATGCAATTCCTTTTTTTAAACCAAGGAATAAACCCCCAAATATTTCTAAAGATATTCTCCTACAATGGATTCTATGAATTAGCTTTCACCATCCATCAAAACTGCCTGACCCATGGATAGATGTCTTTTCCTCTGTGACAGAGAAATAGGCAATTTGGGTAGCAGCACAACAAACTTCTGTTTTGGTCATTGTTTAACAGACCAATAGACACTCATTATAAATGTCTCCTCCGTGTAAGGCAGTGTGTATGGTGATGGCTAAAACCAACATAGTCTCTGCCATCCACGAACTCGAAACCTAGCAGGAGGAGGATACTAAAATGTTGTATTCTCCCTATAGAATGTAAACTCCTTGAGGGCAGGCTCTATTTCATTTAGTCTTTGTGTCCTCAGTGCTGAGCACAGTCTCAGGTATATAGCTGGCTCTTTAATAAATGCCTGTGGCTAGGCTGAGGCTCTTGGTCTCCCTATGTATTTAATGGGTGCATATTAAATGATTTAGTCAGAACTAAGTCTGTCCCAGAAGGGTTGGATTGCACCAACTTTATAGATAGGTGCAAAAAATGTCATTGAACCCTTCTGTTTTTATCCTCATAGAGCATTGCCACCAGCCCCTGCCCCATTTACCAGTCTAAAAAGGTACATAGGAACTTAAGGACAGTACCAGGACTAGTCATATAATTTTTAATTGTAAGAAAGGAATATTAACAAACATCTCTCTTGAAAAACCCTGCATGTTGTGTCTTAAGTGGCTACCCATCTTATCTAGCTCCAGTTCTTTATGAATTCATAGGATCATAGGTTATAGAGCTGAAGTGACCTTAGGAGTCATTAAGTCCAACTCCCTTATTTTTCAGATGAAGAAACTGAGGCCCAGATAGGACAAGTGACTTGCCCAAGGTCACACAGCTGGTAAGTGTCAGAGGCAGGATCGGAACTCAGATCTTCTGTCTACAATGCCAGTGGTCTTTCTTCTGTACCACGGAGCCTCCAATGTTTCTGCGTTGTCACATATTTGCTCAGATTGTAGTGGAGAAAGTGTCTGTAATTTCAGTGAATATGCAGGTAGATCACACACTCATTGGGCCATACCTTCTCATACACTGGGAAGAATCTTTGAGTGATTCTCTCATTGATGAAGCTAAGATTCTTCTCCTTGTCTTCAGGCAAAGACAATGGGGAAAACATAATTATGTCGTACAGATCTCTCATTCCTTCCACATACATGTCAATACTGGAAAAGGAAAGAAGCACCAATAAAAATATGATTACTAGCTCATCCTATTACTAAGAGACTCCAATCAGATAATGTATGTAAAATGCTTTGCAAGATTCAAAGCTCTTTTTACCTATGTCATTATTATTAAATGTAGGAACAAATAAAATACTATATGTGAAAATGCTTTTTTAAAAGTACAAAGTTGTTCATCATTTCAGTCAGTTTTGACTCTCAATCATCCCAATTGTGGTTTTCTTGACAGAGATACTGGCATGGTTTGCCATTTCCTTCTTCAGCTTATTTTACATTTGAGGAAACTGAGGCAAACAGGGTTAAGTAATTTGCCCAGAGTCACACAGTTAGTGTCTAAGGCCCAATTTGAACTCAGGAAGATGATTCTTCCTGACTCCAGACCCAGCACTCTATCCACTGCACCACCCACCTGTCCCTCCCCCCACTCCAAAAGTATAAAGTACTGTTGTGCAAATGTAAGGTATTATAACATAGCAAGAAGGATTTCATAAGCAAGTTATCAATTTATCTTTGTTGTATAAACACTGAGATGCACCATGAAGTAGTAGATACAGAGCACTTTTCTGTGTGTCGTGGATATGGACCCTTCTCAGAATAATGTCTTTAAATGCATAACATGAAATACATAGGATTGCGAAGTAAACCAATTATACTGAAATACAGTTATTAGCAAAATATTTAGATAAGTTCACAGGTCGCAGGGTAAGAATTCTGCCTACTCATATGTATATTAAGGCCCAGATGCTGAAAACGGTTCATCTGCCTACTGCCATGCAGGAGCTTCCTTAGAATAGAAAAAAAAAACTTGATTCGGGGCTTTAAAAACATCAAGCCCCATTTAAAAGACACTTTCAACTTAGTTTGGACAAACATACAAAACCACCGAGTAAAGCAGAATTTACTGTGAATTGTTGTGGTTTTGTGTTTTCAGTCCAGGCCTGTAATTTCATCAGTGAGGGCAATTCCCTCAGCCTTGAAGATTGACGAGTCCGCTCTCATTTATAGTTCATTTATAATGTTAGGGGGGCACTGAGAAATTAAATAACCTTCCTGGGGCCACATGGCTAGGGTCCATTTAAGCCTGCACTTAAATTCTGAAGTCAGATTGTTTTACTCTTTGTATTTGTACTGTCAGGGCTAGCATGGTACCTGACACATTTATTGTTGTTCGGTCATTTAAGTCATGTCCAACTCTTCATGACCCCATTTGGGGTTTTCTTTGCAGAGATACTGGAGTGGTTTGCCTTTTCCATCTCCAGCTTATTTTACAGATGAGGAAAATGAGGTAAAAAGAGTTAAGTGATTTTCCCTGGGTCACACAGCTAGTAAATATGGGAGATCCAATTTGAACTCAGATAGATGATTCTTCCTGACTCCAGGGCCAGCCCTCTATCCACTGTACCACCTCGCTGCCCACACCAGCACATAGTAGGCACTTCATAAATACTTGTTGATGGATTGATTCATCCAGTATGGGTTGCATGGCCTCTCCATGACGAGTTAATAAACATAGAAGCTAATTTTTAAAAAACATCTTCACTTTCATTAATAGTGAATTTGTGTATTGTTTTTGAACTCATGCTTTTACAAATCATTAAAATGATTTTAAAATTATAGTTATTCTATTTTGAGATCTAAAGTCAGTATTTCTTCTTTTTTGAACAAGTCATCTATGTATCTGTGAGTGGGATAGTACATTACAAATCAGCCTTAATATATATTAGTAGGAAAGTATTTCCAGCATGCCCTTTAAGTTAAGACTGAGTTCCATAAACATTCTATTAGATTGTAAGCTTTTTGGTACTGTCTTTTGCCTCTTTTTGTATCTTCCGCATTAGCAACATTTCTGGCACATAATAGGCACTTAATAGGTGTTGACTAATTGATAAGCAGCCTACAGAAGCCAGTATCGTTACTTTATAGCAACACTCTACTAAGCAGTTAGAGATTTAATTTCCTCCTTTGACTGCCCCCCACTTTGATAATACCATCTACTAAAGATATATTTACATCAGGGTATCTTAGATTTAGGGCACCTGGGAAAGGGAGTTAACATTTTTACTTACTTATTTTCATAACATGCTGATAAGAACATTCTTCCTCTGTCCATTACATAAAAGGAGATACTTTCTTAACATAATTTCATTGAGAAGCAGGGGAAATAACAGATAAAGAGCTGGCCTTGAAGTCAGGAAGACCTATCTATGGTCGAGTTTAGCCTTTGACCTCTACTTGGTGGTGTGACCCTGAGCCAATCATTTGTCAGAATCCACTGTCAAGTAGAAATTTCCTAAATAAAAAAGGGTGGCATCTATGTTATATTGTAAACATGCAAAAAAACGATTACTGTACAGGACTTGCTCCTTCAGGTCCTTCCCATACAAGTTGTATTTTCCAGCTATATATCTTAGGATGGCTCTGGTTTGTACCATCTTCATTCCATCAATTTCAACCATTGGTAATTGTTGATACATTAGTTTTCCATCTATAAAAAAGAAAGAGAAGTCAACTCAGTGGCTTCCCTCCCCCCCCCCATTAGAGTATGGTCATGGGATCATAGTTTTCCAACCAGAAAGGACCTTAGCTCAGTGTCCAATTTAACTCTTCCATTCTACAGTAGGGGAAATTGAGGCCCAAGAAGGGTGAGGGACTTCCTCAAGGTCACACAGCTAAGTATCAGAAGCAGGATTTTAATCCGTGAGCTCTGATTTTAGAACCAATGCTCTTTCCGCTACATCAGAACACACTGTGTTGGGGGGGGGGGTGGCGGAGGTCGGGTAGGGGGTGGGGGGTTGGGGTGTTTGGTTTAATTTCCATTCTAAAGACACTGCCTCCCACCCTGCAAATGGGATTGTGCTTTCTGCCAAATAAGGTTGTTCAAGATGTTAGGAGTGACTGACTTACTCCTTACCATGTACTGAGAGACACTGACCTCTTTGCTGTTCCTCAAACAAGACACTCCAATCTCTGGACTCCAGGCATTTTAACTGTGTGTGCCCCATGCCTAGAAGGCTCTGCCTCCTCATCTCTGCCTCCTGTCTCCCTGGCTTCCTTCAAGTCCCAGTCAAAATCCCACCTTCTCCAAGAAGCATTTCCTAATCTCTTGCTTACTGCGAGTGCCTTCCCCGTGTGGGTTATCTGCAGATTACCCTGGATATATTTTGTTTGTTCATAATTGTTTGTTGTCTCTGCTCCATTAGACTGTGAGCTCCTCTGGAGCAGGGGGTGTTGGATTTTTTTTCCCATTGCATCTACTCTTATTTTTATTTTTCAATTTAATTTATTTTGTTCTGAACTTAAGAAATAAAACAAACATTTCAATAACATAGTAGTATAGAAAAAAAAGATGATTGTTAAAAAAATATTTTTTTTCCTTTCTTTCTATCCCCTGTGCTTAGTGCAGTGCCTGACACATAGCAGGTCCTTAATAAATGCTTCTTGACTGACTGAAAGCTACTGCTGGAATGGCATTGACAACAGTAGTTTTGTGAACCTACTATGTGCACTTCAGTATGCTAGGCACTCTGGGTGGTATACATGAATGTAGGAAGGATCTCTTAGGATTTATCTGTGACCTTGTGGGACTAGGGAACTCCCTATATGGGAATTTCCTCCATCTACCCAAATGACAGCTCTATCTATGACTCGGTCTTTACACTGTCTGCTTGGGTAATCTATGATTCTTGACTTAAAGGATTTTGCCTTTAAATCTTCTCTCACAAATTGATATCTGCTCCCTCCTGCCTCTAGCCTCAAGTACAAACTCTTCTTTTTGCATCCAAAACCCTTCATGGTCTATTCTAGCCTGCCCTTGTAGACTCCTTATACATGACTCTTCACACACCCTGCCTCCTAGACAAACTAGCTTACTTGCTTTTCTGCCCACACAACATTACACCTCCTGCCTCCTTGCCTTTGTATGGGCTGACTTCCATCCCTAGAATTCCCTCTCTCTTCACCTTTCCTGATCTTCTAAGCTGCTAGCACCCACCTTCCCCTGAAAGTTACTTTTCCCTTGCAATTCTTTTGTATTTGAATAACCTCTATATTTACTTGTATAGGCAGGTAGGTGGCTTGGTGAATGAATAGTGCTGGATTTAGAGTTCCAACCTTGTCTCAGGCATCTGCTAGCTATATAACCCTGGGCAAGTCACTAAAGCTCTCAGCCTCAGTCTGCTCATCCATAAAACGGGGATGATGACAGCACCTACCTCCCAAAGTTGCTGTGAGGGTTGATGGAGATAATACTTGTAAAATACTTTGGAAGCATATGAATGGTATGATGATGATGATAATGGTGTTTATGCATGATGTTTCCCCTAAAGAATATAAGCTCATTGAGGTAAGGGACTATTTCATTTTTTCATCTTTTTATCTCCAGTAACTTGGATAACACCTGGTACATAGTAAGTGCTTAATAAATGCTTGTAGATCAATTGATTGATCCACACCCACCCTTTCTTTAGCTCCCACAACCATTCTCTAGGCCAGGGTCTCATCACCTCTCACTTAGATTCTTTTTTTTCTCTTTTTAAAAATTAATTTATTTTAAACTTAAATACACAATAAGAAAAGAAACATTATGAACTTGTACACAAAATTAGAAAAGAAAAACATTGTCATGTGCACAGCAGAATGTAAGGGAGGGATCAAAATATACAGCAATATATTTCCCTTTCAAGAAAGCCTGTATAATAAATACTACTCATTGTGTTCAGAGATGTCCATCTTTCCTTTACTTCCTTGTAAAGTTTTCTTTTGTTCTCTGCTGTGCACTATTTACTTCATTCTTTTCCCTCCCTTCCTTCCCCACTCTTCCAAGAAGATACAAATAAGGGCTGATATATTTATAGATACATATACATTTATATACAGACATATATGTACACATATATACATATATGCATATGTATACACATATATACACAAAGATATATACACGCACATACACATATGTGTACACTTAAATTCAAATATATATACTTAGATTTCTATAATCATACTTATATATAGGAATATACATTCACATGCATCTATACTTATTTGTTCTCTGTTTCCCTGAGGGTGCATACCCTCTTCCTTCATATGTCTGAGTCTTTCCATATTTTTCTAAGTCCACCAACTAGCCATTTCCTACACCACAGCAATATTCCATCCTTTTACTGTCTAGTTATTTTACATGGTCTAAAACAATAATGTTTGATATGACTGACATATAGTACACTTTCCCTATTTTTCTCTAATGATTAAATCTACTTTAGCTTTAACTTTGTCTGCCACCTAGAATCTTTCAGTGTTTCTCACTGGTCTCTACACCTCCAGTCTCTGTCTATGCCAATCAGACCTTCATAATTCATCTTCCTGAAACACAGCAATTATCTAGATACTTCTTTGCCCACACACAAAAAAACCCTCCAGTAACTCCCACCTGCCTGCTCTTTCCTCACATTCAAGATCCTCCATGGCCCTGACTCCAATCTAACCTTTCCAGTCTTAAATCCCATCAATCTTTACTTCCACCACTATTCCTTCATAGAAGCCAAGGGCACTTTGTTTCAGGAGTAAAAAAGCTTTACTTTCTTCCCTGATGTGGTTGTTTTGAAATTCAAACCCTACCTCTTAGGTACAGAGGAATACACATGTGTACTGTCCTAGGTAATTCCCTTCCATGCTATGATTTGTAACATACTTTTTCACAACTATAGAATCAGAGAATTGGAGGGCTTCAAGGGGATCTTAGAGACTTTCTGCATGTGTTTTCAGGCAAGGCAAGGGTAGTTAATCTGATCTTCAAGGACTAGCAGAGCACAACAGCAAGGCTTTGAACTCACCCTTAATTAAATTCTGAAGTTCTTCAGCTGTTTCCAAAAACACTTCTTCAAACTAGAAAGGAGAAGGACACATCAGGATATGAGAGTGATGGAATCATAGAACGTTAGCATTGGCAGAGACCCTAGAGATCACCTAAGACAACTAGGCTGTATGAGGGGTAGAGTACAGGAGTAGGAGTCACAAAGACCTGAGTTTAAATCCTGTGTTAGGTATTTACTAGCTGGGAGACCCTGGGCAAGTCACTTAACTTCTCTGAGCCTCAGTTTCCTCATCTGCAAAAATGAGGACCTTGGACTAAATGATCTCTAAGGTTCCTTCCAGCTCTACATAAATGACTCTGATGCTTTTGTCCAAAATTTCTCAAAAGTTTTGGTTTCAGAACCCCCATTACCTTCTTAAATGTAATAGTATTGAGGACCTACCCAGAGAGCTTCTGTTTCTGTGGGTTCTGTCTATTAATATTGGCCATATTAGAAAATAAAACATGAATTTTAAATATATTTATCAATCATTAAAAACAAACCCATTACATATTAACATAAATAATATATTTTCATGAAAAAATGACTATTTTCCAAAACAAAAAATTAGTGAGAAGAATGGCATTGTTTTACATGTTTTTGCAAATCTCTTTAATGGCCAGTCTTAGCTGGATTCTTATATCTGCTTCTGCATTCAGTCTGTTGTAATATGTTGTTTTGGATGAAATATATGTGTATATATACATATACACATATAGATATAGATAGATAAAATCCAGCTCCACAGAGATATGTAATTGGAAAAGGGAAGAATATTTTAGTAGGTTAATAACATCTTAGTACTATTATGAAAAGACTCTTGATCTCAAATACTCTCTGAAAGGATCTTGGGCAACTTCAGACTACACTTTGAGAACCACTGTTCTAATCTACCCTCCTCCCCCCCTTTTTTTTTAAATTAAAAGATGAGTCTTAGAGAAATGATTACTAGATTATCAATGCCTAGAGGGTAACAATTTGGATTTTTTCATTTTTGTATCTATCCAGTGCCTGACAGAGTACACTGTATCAGTCCATACAAAGGATCTGTGATTCTGGCAATCATATTATGACTACATACATAAATGTTGTTGTTTGAGGCACATAGAGGTTAAGACTTGTCCAGGAACATATGGCAGGAACAAGTGCCAGGGGCAAGATTTGACTTCAGGTGTTCCTAATTCTAAGCCCACCATTCTGTCACTACAATCACTACAAGTTACCCGTTTTTTTGTTTGTTTGTTTGTTTGTTTTTTGTGAGGCAAGTGGAGTCAAGTGACTTGCCCAGCGTCACACAACCAGGAAATATTATGTGTCTGAGGTCAGATTTGAACTCAGGTCCTCTTGATTTCAGGGCTGGTGCTCTATCCACTGAGCTACCTAGCTGCCCCAGACTACTTTTCTATACCTTTTAGGGTTAGAGAGGGGAGAGGTTTCATAGATAGAGGACTGAGGTGTCAAACCAGCTGCCTGCAAAACTCCTGAGTGCATGCCCAACCAGATTAAAATGTAATTGGGAAGTGTTTATAAATAAAATTAGATGCATACCATTTAGTCATCCCCATTCTATTTGAGTTTGACACAGCTGATAGAGGGAACACTTTTTTTTTGCATAAGTAATGACTTTATTGTAACTTGATGTGCTGAAACGCAAAAATGTTTTCAGCAACAAGATACAAAAAGTATCTGAACATAAACTTCAGCTGATTAAAAAAAGAGGCTGGCCAGTTTGATGAAAGTGTTTATACATATGTTATATATTTTCTAAATCATAACCACCCCAATACTGGTCTTTCATTATAACAATGTGTTTATTTCCAAAACAGGACACATGGGATATAGAATTAAGCGGACTGCCATGCACAATGATGAAGTCAAACATCTAAAGAATTCCCACAAATTCTTCTTCAAATATAAAGTCCATTTACTGCAAACAGAAAATAAAGGGTGAGTCTAATTCAATTCAGCAAACATTTATTAAGCACCTACTATGTGCAGAGCACTGGTTAAACTAGTTTAATCTTGATAATTTATAAGGAAGCTCTGTGTGTGTGCATGTGTGTGTGTGTGTGTGTATCTTTCAAATACATTAAAACCAGTGACCAATATTATTGAGTCAATTTCAAATAAATGAAATTAATACTCAAAATCTAGACTGAAATGTTGATTTTTAAAATATGAAACCCCTTTACAAGGAAATAATGAATTCTTAAAATTTCATTCTTAAAATACTTATTTTAGACCATGAGAATGCAAATATAAATATCTGACATGTTTGAATTAGGAAAAAAAAAAACCTCTTTCCATTCAAGAATACTGTATAGAACTGCTTGCATTGGATTTTTAAAAATGAAATCATCTGAATAAAGGACTTGTTAGATTTTAGGAATGTTGGTCTCAATTATACATTAGCAAAGACAATTTGCTGTCCTATTCAATTGTAAGCTTATTACAATGTCAAAGAGGGAAATAAATTAATCCAATATTTTCATAATTCATTTTCAATCAAGTTTACATATGCATCAGTAATACTTGAGAAAACTTAAGATATTTTAATGTTTTGTAACTTAATTGTATAATAGAAGTCCTAAAAAGGCACTGTATTTTCTTATTTCAATATGCAGTAAATTGACCACATAAAAAAGTATTTTACAGCTTCCTGGATTCCTGAACTGCCTCCTAAAAAAAAAAGTTGAAATGAAACATCTGAAACTAACCTGTCATTTTAAGATTTAACTGAGTCCTATTTTCAGAAAAAAATCTATCTCTGTAAAAATACCACACACACATACATACAAGCATGTACATACACACAAGATGACTCCCAGACCAATGTTTCTCACTATGCCACACTGCCTAATTAATATTGTGACTATTATTAATGATTGTAATTACTGCTCATAGGCATAGATTGAGACTCTTAATCTCTTTAAATGGCAACTAAGTGGTGTGGTGGACAGAGTACACAGAGTAGTCTTATTTTCAATCCTGTGATAGAATGGGGTCCTAGGATTAGCAGAACTGAAGGCCCTCAGACCCTAGGACACAGACAGAGTTAGAAGGAACACTGGGGGTTGTCTTGTCCAATACCCTCATATGGAAGACAGGAAACTGAAATCCAGAGAGGGGAAGTGATTTACTAACATCAGTTAGGAGTGGGGGAAATCATTCATCACCACCTGAAAGATTATCACAAATTTTTTAGCATATCAATCTAAATTATCAATGTTTAAAAATTTAGAAACTTCATCAAGACTTTATGAAGGCCTTGTATATAATGAATCTGAATCTTCCCCACTCTCTACCCAAGGAAAAAAAAAACCAACAAAAATGAAGATCGCTATAAATCTCTTTAGAAACTAACCCAACCTCTGTTCCTTGGTATTTTTCAATTTTCCAAAATGATGAGCTTTTAAATGAATAACAACACTAAGCAATAATGGCCAGGCAGTTAATGAAATAAATGGGAACCAGTATCATTCTTTGTGTTATGGCATGGAAAAAAATATTTTTTTAAGGAGTCATTGGAGTCAACAATCACAGAATATCAAACCTAGAAGAGGATCTCAGAAATCCTGTAATGCCAGCCCCCTATTCTACAAGTGATGAAGCCGAGACTCAGAGATGCAAGCTAACTTGCCTGAGGACATCCAGCTAGGAGGTAGTGGTGCCGCCACTTGGACCCTGGTCGGCTGAGTGTCCACTGAACTTGCCCCTAGGCCTTGAATCTACTTTCAGAAGGAGAACTCAATCAACACGTAATTATCAAAATAAATTTGCCCTTCAAATTGCTCCTGTGACTTAGTTCACTATCAAAAAAAAAAAAAAGATAGTCACCATGATTAGACCCCTCTTTTCGAGACAGTCATTAAGTAAGATCCATGTGACTTCTCCTCTAGTAAATATTGACTGAGTCTGAAGAACAAGAACAAACGTAAGAAACGAAGCATCTACCTCCACACCAGCAGCGGCCAGGAGCCAGCGCACGGATTCCATTCTGCCTCTGCCATTGAAGTAATACAGTTTGGGCTTCGCAGCCATGATTCTCAATTCCTGGTTTTCTGAAGAACAAGAGAGAACAAACAGCCTGACCAGGACCTCGATAGACAAGCTGTCCTTTTTGTAGTCTTTGCTGTACCTGGGATACATGAGAAAAGCCCAAACTCTCAGGGCCAATGATTCAGAGGGTAGATGGGGGAGGGAGGAGAATCATGTGAAGAGCAGGCTTCAAATCTCCCATTTTCCCTCAAAGACAAGCTGAAGGCAGCTAGACCGGAACCTATTTAACTGAGTGAAATGCATTTGGGACTTTGGTGAGTAGGAAATGATCAACTTAACCTGGTCTACATAATATAATTGAAATGCAAAGATGAAGTTTCTTTGTTGTGTAAAGAATGTTTACTAGGATAATTTTTATCATTATATCAAAGTGGATCATCCAAGTCTGGGTGTCATGGATACTATACAACTCCCTTTTTGACTCCAAGTGTTGTTTGGGGCTGATCCTAGTTATGCAAAATTCACTATTAAAGCCCAGAAATCACAAATCAAATAAAAAAGTTTTCATTTAGGACGGATAGCAAAATAAACGATAAGAGACCTGTGCTTTGATTTATGTAGTGAGCTCCCTGGAGAGGAAATTCCCTCTACCAATAGCACATCTGCCATTATCCTGGGATTTTTAGTCGGAAAGTTGCCTGGGACACAGAGAGGTTAAGCAACTTTCCCGGGGTCACACAGTCAATAGGAGTCAGAGGCAGGATTAGAAGCCAGGTCTTGCTGAGGCTCAAGTGGCTTGTCTATCTTCTACACTGTAGATATCTATTCCAATAAAATATACATTGTTACCTTGCCATAAGGTCTCATTTCAAATTGTCCCTTTTGGACAAGGGAAATAACCCAAGACAAATACATTTTCCCATGGATTCCCATGCTTCCCATGAGAACGGGAATGTTACCTATAGGACTCAGGAGGTCCCGGAGGTTATGGCTCAGCTGAAATATCTTTAATGGTTCACTTACCAGACAAGTGTGTATGCCCCACTGATGTCCTGTCCTGTTTCTAAAGTTGCTGGAATCTTCATCTGGGGCTAGGGTTGGGGCTTCTTCTTCAGGGGAAAGGTTAGCACTCTTTTGTGAGACTGGCCAGCCAACACGCCTGGAGTTAAGGGTGTTCTTAGCTCTTTTAGCTTAACAATGTTCAACATCCTCCTTCAAAGGAATTCTCCAAGCCTCCCTGATATGTTGGATAGGGAGGGCAAATTCCTTTTAGTTACTATCAAGAATTTTGCAGATAAATGTCATGTTCCCACAGTAGAATTTGTTGTAAAACAGATTGTTTTCATTTTTCTCTTATATATCCAACATCGTGCACAGTACTTTGCATTCAATAGAAATGATAAATATTAGTTGAAATTTAAAAAAAGAAGAAATTTGGAGACAGTGTCAAGGGCACTTTAAATTATATCAAAACTTTAATAACCTTCAAAGAGTCACTTAGGAATATTATGTGGTGCAAGGACGGACTTGCAACCTCAATCCCGCATTCCTGTCATTGCAACCAAGAATATGACCTTCTTGCTTGTTAAGTCGTTTCAGCTGTGTCTGATTCTCCATGACCCAGTTGGGGGTTTTCTTTGTAAAAATACTAAAGTGGTTTGTTATTTCCTTCTCCAGCTCATTTTACCAATGAGGAAACTGAGGCAAATAGGGTAAAGTGACCTGCCCAGGGTCATCCAGCCAGTAAGTGTCTGAGGCCAGATTTGAACTTAGGAAGATAAATCTTACTGTCTTCAGGCTTGGCACTCTGTCCACTGTGCCACCTAGCTGCCCTCACTGGCTCATAATAGCCACTCAATAAGTGTTTATTGATTGATTGACTCAAAATCCAGTGGAGAAGTTGGAGAACTGGAGAAGCTGTTGAACCTCTCCGTGGACCAGGAATGCTCTGAAACTAAAGTCACAGAGCAGTTTAAAACCACAGTCTAAAGTCACTGTGCATTGGTGGAGGGAGTTTATTCACTGGAAGTTTCCTATACCAGTAAAATCACAGGGAAAAATCTAACCCCCTCACCCCGTCTTCTTTTACCACACCCTCCCCTGTGTCCCCCACATTTCCATGACTCAGAACAATGCCTGCCATGTAATAAGACTTCAATACATGTTTTATGAATTCCATTTTCTTATCATTGGCAGCACAAGTGAAAGTGTTAATTATGGTGACAAGTTGATAGCTCTCAGTCAATAAGCATTTACTATGTGCTTCCTCTTGGTTTATGCTACGGGGTAGCTCTGGCAAGTTAATAACTAACCCTTCCATTAGTCATTAAAAATATCTAGTTTTGAGCCTTGAGAGTTATGGGTGACATACTAGAATTTTTCATGTTTGTTTTTTTTTATTGTACTAGAGGTTTTTATGAGCTATAGCAAGGGCAGATCTCTGACATCACAAACAGATAACATTTGTGGCTTCAGCACAATTTTCAGCAGTAGAGGGGGAACTACTGATTTCTGATTAGTAAGCAAAAATGACAGGTGTCAGAAAAAAGAGGTCAGAAAATCAAAGCCAAGGGCAGCTGAAGCAGCCAGTTAAAACAAATCTTGAGATAGAAACCAACATGGATATAATATGCCTACATAAGGGACTTTGGAGAACCACAGAACTGAAATAACTCTTTCATATATGCAAAAGAGCTTTTTCCAACCGACATTCTTCAAATGGAATTGCCCATTCACTGACATCTAAATTTTCTGAAGAAAGAAGGCTGAGTTTATGGTGCATATACATTAAATACTATAGACTGACCAATCAAACAATAGCTCTAAGGAAATAAAAGAAGATGAATTATGGAATTGTATTATACACTGAATGTGTTGTATATTGAATTTCAACATTCCACCCAGTATAGGAATCCTCTTGTAGCCTCACTGACAAAAGGTCATTCAACCTTTGTTTGAAAACTTCCAGTGATGGGTAAGTTACTGTCTGAGAAAACAGTCTAATCCAGTGTTGAACAGATAAAATTTCTAGAATGTTCTTTCTTACATTGAGTCAAAATTGCCCCTAAATAACTTTCAAATATAACACTGGTTTTGTCCCATAGAGCTACACAGGAATTTTGTTCTTCTCCCATGTGATGGATCTTCAAAAATGTGGAGATAGCTCTCATGTTCACACGGGGTTTCTCTTCTCCAAACAAACAGTATAGTGACTTGATTCACCAAGTTGCCCAAGGTGAATAATGCATGACCATCACAATTGGTATTAGGGGCTTTGCCACATTGATATGGTAGCATGGTTCAGGGGAAAGAGTGCTGAATTTGGAGCCAGAGGACCTGGTTCAAACCTTGCCTTTGCCACCTGTGTGGTATGGAGCAAGTCATTTAACCTTGTGGGTTCTCAATTCCTTCAACTGAAAAATGAGGCTATGGAAATAGATAACCCCATTAATTAATGTCTATTGGACTCAAGAAGGACAATAGGTCGTGGAGGACTGAATGGCTCACTTGCAGCAAGTAATGTTTTTTCAGTCATATCCACCTGAATATAAAATAGCTTCATGACCCTATTTGGGGTTTGCTTGGCAATACTAGAGTGATTTGCCATTTCTTTCTCCAGTTCATTTGACAGATGAGGAACTGAGGCAAACAGGGTTAAGTGACTTTCCCAGAGTCACACAGCTAGAAAGTGTCAGAGGTCTGATTTAAACTCAGGTCATCCTGACTCTAGAACTTTTATCTACTGTGCCACCTGGCTGCCCACCTTTCTTTGTAGTGTTTAGTATAATATGTGGTAGATAACACTTAATAAATGCTTATTGACTGACTGACTGAATAGCCTTCTAACTGGTCTCCTGGCCTCCATTCTCTCCTCCTTCCAATCCACACCCAACTATCACAATGAATTTCCTAAAGTATAAGTTTAACCAATAAGTTTCGGAGGCAGAATTTGAATCCACACCTTTCTATCTTCAAGGCCCAATCCTTCAACCATTAAGCTACCTTTCCTCTTGCTTGATTTATACTAGTCTATTAAAATCCTTTATAGTACTATCTGTTTTACAAATTAAACTAGCATGCTTAATTTTTTAGATCCAGAAAAAAATAATTTAATCTAGCCATGGAAATCTACAAGCTATTTCTAATTCTTAATATAAGGATAATTTTAATAATATTATTACTGGGTTCAAGGGTGTGCTGGTAAATATTTAACAACATCTGATGGGAGGGGAGATGTACCCACGACACACTTTTTATATTTAATCTTCATTATTAACATTTAACATTATGAATATTTTCTCCATTCCTTTCTTAATTGCATACAATCAACAAAACAACAAATCAAGCCCTGATTTGTAACATTTGCCAATTTCCCAAGGTGCAAACATTCACATTGAAAATTTAACAATTGGCTCTCAGGAAGGCTCAGAGCTGGCTCCAACACATCTCTGACTTAGGTTAGTGAGTTTGTTTGGTAGTTAGGTGGCACAGTAGATAGTGTGATAGACCTGGAGTAGGAATAGACCTGGGTTCAAATCCAGCCCCAGATACTTACTAGCTGTGTGAGCCTGGGCAAATCATTTAACATCTATTTACCTCACTTCCTTCAGCTGTAAATTGGAGATAATAATAGCATTTACCTCCCAGGGCTGTTATGAGGCTCAAATAAGATCATAATTGTAAAGTGCTTAGCAGAGTGCCAGGGAGATAGCAGGTGCTATGTAAATGTTAGCTAACATTATTAATCCCAGGTTTTCTTATTTAGCTCAAATTATCCTTCCACATGGCCATACCTCCTCAGAAATCTCCCAGGTAAGCCATAGAAGGAGAAGAAGCATATTTTGCAGAAGAGGTGAAATAGAAAGAATGCTAGATTAAAGTCAAGACACTTGGCTTTTATTCTCATTTCTTCCACAAATTATTTGTGTGACTCGATATAAGTCACAGCTTCTTTCTGATGCTCAGTTTTCTCATCTGTCAAATGGGGGGAAGGGTTGGAATCTAAGATTCCTCCCAGCTCTATCAGTCAGGTCTCAGTGCCTGTTATAGAGTGACATAATTTTAGGACTGGAAGGGACCTTAGAGACAATTGAGTCCAAATACTTTCATTTTACAGATGAGGAAACTGAGGCTCAGTGAGGGGAAGCAACTGGCCTAGGGTCACACAAGTACTAAATATCTGAGGCAAGTCTTCCTGACTCTAAGTCCAGTGTCCTAACCCCTTGGCTATGAATAAATGCTTATTGATTGATGGGCAACAAGTCTCTATTGCAATATGAAATGTTCTTCACATGAACTTTGGTTTGGAGTTGAAGATATTCCATCTAAAAAGACTTGGATGTAAAAATTTTTTTTTATGTTTACTATGTTTACTATGCTTTTTATGTTTACTATGTTTACATATGTTTACTATGAATGCATATGTATAGCCTATATCAGATTGTATGTCATCTTGTGGAGGGGGGAAGGGAGGGTGGAGGAGAACATTTAGAACTCAAAATCTTATGGATGTGAACATTGAAAACTAAAAATAAATTAATCATTTTTTTTAAAAAAAGACTTGAAAAACAGTATTTGAACCCAAATTTCCATTTCATTACTGACATTCTTAGCTCTATCAGTCAGTGCACAGTACCTGGCACATAGTAAACATAATTTTCGAACTGGAAGGGGCTATACCAAGGGTGGGGAACTTGTAGCCTTCTAGGTTCTTAAGTGGAGCCTTTGGACTGAATCCAAATTTTACAAAACTTATCATTTTATTTTTATTAATACATTTTTGCTTGTTTTTCATATTTTATTTTATTTTTAAAATAAATATATTTAAAATATCAAAGAATAAAATAATTTTCAATGAAATAATCCTCCCAGATTGACCAGCACTATTAGAACCATAAGGGTTCTAATAAGGGTAAGGCAGAAGGACTAAATTGATGGCTGCTACACTCATTATTTAGTTCTAACTTCCCCTACCTGACTGGTGCCACTGCTGAAAGGGGCTGGTTGGTGAGAGTTTATGGAGGTTGACTACACCGGTCAGTTATCAGCTTTTGACCACAGTGCACTGTGTTTTTGTTTGAAGTGGAATTTGTGAATTCCAGTATTTTTTAAATATGTCTGCTTAACAGCCCATCATCTCAAAGAAGACCAAAAGAATCCTGAAGGAAGAAAACAGATTTTTTAAATGAGGATTGGGAATTACGATATTATCTTGTTTCTACTAAAGATAAGATGATT